TAATAAAATTAGGATTTCAATAAAACCATTTCCCAGAGCTTTTGGCAAAACAGTGGAGTCAAAGCTAGCTGTCTAGGCAGTCTTGGTGATTTCTGAGTTCTGTTTTAATAGTCTTTTTTCTTTATCTCGTCGCATAGTGGTGTACTCGTGCAAGTTCAGAATCCATTGTAATAGTCTCCGTAAGCTAAAAACTTGATATTTTTCAAGTTGAAATTGATTAAAGCAAAGCTTACTAACCGTGAGCCTTGCTTGTCTGTAGCGTAAGCATCGGCGGTGCCATCGTTAATCATTTGTTCGACATACGCCCTTGCCATAAGCTGATCATTGTCAAACGACGGTGGAGGCACAATGCTTAAAAAATTGTACACATTATCGTTAAGTAGTTGATTCTACATACAAAATCGAGCAGTATCGTGCGCTAAAGAAAGCAGATATCAACCTAATAACGGTAAAGCGTACGCTTTGCGTTTAATGCAGATAAAAATTCAGTGTAGAAACCTCATTGTTTTTGCTTTCAAACATCTAATAAATATCTGTTCATAATTTGGATAAAACTTCCACCAAAATATTTTTTTCCCGCATTACAGGTGAGCTGCAATCTCCATCCCATGCATGGAGACAGAATATGTTCACAGTGAAAGGATGCTCTGTTCTTAATTAATTCCTTGTTTGTTTCCATTGACCCAGTAAAACAATTTTACTCAGTAGCGCCTATCCTTAATCTTCTGAGGGCTCTTTTGTTTTTCGGCACACACTCTGAAGTGTTAAATGCTACAGAATAAGCCAGTCTGTCGTTCGTCTTTGTTGCGTTCTTGTCTATTGTGTAGCATGACTCTTCACAGCTTCGTAATCGCATAATGTTTCCGTGTTCTTTCGAGCCAGAAAACGGAGTTTTAAGTCACACTGGTTTGGTGTACGGGAACATTCGCCGCGAGGAACGATCCCGAAACTGTGACTCTTCTTCCGACCCTTTGCTATATTATCATTCATTTTAAGAGGGAAGAGCTCAGTGGACGAATGAAAAAACAAAAATAAACAAGCTTACTCCATCAAGCAACCATATGCTGCAGCTGCTGGTTGTGCGGAGATGGGCATTGCAAAGGTACAAGGAGCAACGACACCATACAATACCTTAAATTTTAGTAAGAGTTTTTAAAAGCGCAGTATTACGTTCCGACCGGAAAAAAGTCCTTGGTGGAGTCGTGTTTATCAAGAACATGAAATGGTTCATAAAAAATTTTCCTTTAGTTCCAACCGCCAAGAATAGAGCATAGTGCTCCTCACGTTTGGTCCCAATAAAATTCTCAGAATAGCGCATTTTCACGCTTGCACAATAGCTAACGATTGGAACTAAAAAAAATATCGAAGCAGAAGGGTTATACAGTGTGCTCGAATCCTCCTTAATTGTCAAATCCACATACGCGATCACTTTATAAGAGATTTAAAACCTAGCCGGGACGAGGAAATGGAAAAGTGCATCGGTAAGTTTGCCATTAACAAATTAATAAATAGCAACACGAACCAGACTAGCCAGTGCGATCATGCGTTTTGTGCAATTCTGTCCATCGAACGATTGACCTATTTGTGATTTTCACTGCGTTGTACTTTAGCCTGCGCAAAAGCAGTTGAAACACTGAAAAATATTTAGAAATTTTACGCGCATGCGCATGAAAGCTGAATTCGAAACACTGAAGGGTAATTATCTTTCCGTGATTCCCGAGTTAATAGTTTACCCGACAAAATTTTCACTAGGCCGTAGATGATACCCGAGAGCGCGGGAAAGCTGAGTTTGAATAGGCAAGGTTGAGCATGGGTAGGGGGACACTACTCTAAAATTTCAGCTTCTTAGACCCTGTGGTTCTCAAAATAATAATTTACCCGTCAAAAGTTTTTACGGGGCCGTACTTTTTACCCGCGGGCAGGGGAAAGTTGAATTTAAATTTTGTGGGTAGTGCGTGGGCGGGGGACATGCTCACAAAATTTCAGCCTTCTAGCTTCCATGGTTCCTGAGATACTGATTTTACCCGAAAAACTTTCACTAGGCCAGTCGCTAAGCTTTTGTGGTTCCCGAGTTAAAAGTGTGAGACAAAATGTGGGACACACACACATAGACAACCTTGTGACAACAGGCGTTTGTGCTGCTGCTGCGCAGCACAAAATGCATAACAAAAGGAATGAAAGAGCTTATAGACTAGAAGTAACAGTTGAAACGAAAACAACTGTTCACTAGCAAAATCAAATTCCCGAAAAGTGCGAGTTGGCGACTAAATTAACTCAGGCTGCAAACGCACCAAGATTGCTAATAACAACAATGGTTTCTAAGTTGTAGTTTAACGAATGAATTCATACTGGCTTCGTTTTGGCTTCTTCTTGCGCTCAGGAGTAAAGGGAATCTGTTGGGACGAAGAACTAGCATTGTGGGCCCGCGTGGACCTACAGCGCGTATGATCATCGGTTTTTTGCTTGAAGCCCGGTTATTTTTCCGTCTCTCATTGAAATCACTAACAACTGGCCCCTGCGATCTTACGTTTTTGCGGTATTTCGTACTGTATTGAGATCGCTCGGAATCCCATTAGCTAGAATTACTGATAAACTGGTTCAGGAAGTGCAACTATGTGGTACTTGGGTAGGGGACATTCAGCTAAAATTCTAGATTCCTACCTTCTCCGGTTCCTAAGTAAATAATTTTTTCCATTCAAAAAGTTTCACACAGCCGGACGTGAGAACCATGCGAACTTGGGCTGAATTTGAAATCCTTAAATTGTATGAGGGCTAGGAACATTCCGTTCAAATTTCAGCCCCACCTTTTATGGTTTCCGAGTTAGCGATTTTCCTGCCAAAATTTTTAGGTGCTCGAATCAGATGTGTTTTCCAGCCAAGTGCGATCCCAGGACGGCGATATCAACCTTCATGCCTGCTCCTACCAGACGTGAAGGTTGATATCTCGGTCCTGGTGTCGCAATTGACGAGAGAACTCGTCGACAAAATTTCGGCGCGGAAGACTGCTTGGCTGCCGAATTGAAATACCGAACAGACGCACACACAAACATACATACACAAACACACACATCTGTGTCGTCATACTATGCGTTTCTGCATATAAGTAAATTGCAAAAACGCATATTGGGAAGAGGCTGTGTGTGTGCTTGTGTGTGTGCTTGTGTGCGCGTGTGTGTGTCTGTGCGTCTTTTTATCACCCACTTTCAATTCGAGAACCAGAAAAGCTAGAAGGCTGAAACTTTGGAAGTATTTGCCCATACCGTGCGCGACTTTCCCGTTTTAATTTCATCCGCCTCGGACGTCTGGGTGCCGTGTACGGACGTTTTAAAAAAAAATATGCAAATTTTTTGGCTGGAAAGCGATCTCGGGAACCACACGAGCTGAGGGGCTGAAACTTTGCAGGGATATTCCCTGTGTGAAAGTTTTAAGAGGGAAATTGCTGACTCGGGTACCTAGAAAGCTAGAAAGCTGAAATTTTGGGGGAATGTTCCCTATCCAAGTACAACTCAAATATTTCAAATTCATCTCCAAGCTATGCGTTGTGCTTATGTAAAGGCGTATGAAAGTTTCTGCCGAAAAATTGCTAGTTCGACAACCAGAAGAGCTGGAAGGCTGAAATTTTAAGCGGATGTTCCCTGCCCACGTGCAATTTAAAAATGTCAAATTCAGC